GTCATCCTTTGCAGATGACACAAAAATCAGCATGAAAATTACCTCTGTTGAAGACATTGAAAAATTACAAGCAGATGTCAACAAAGTTTTCAATTGGGCACCAAAAAATAACATGATGTTTAACAGTGATAAATTTCGGGTACTCAGGTACGGCAAAAATGAGGATCTGAAACATAATACAGGGTACAAAACACAATCAAATCTTCCCATAGTAGAAAAACAGCATGCCAAGGATTTGGGAATAATGATGTCCGACGATCTAACGTTTAGGGAGCATAACCAAGCAAATATTGCGTCAGCCAAAAAAATGATAGGATGGATTACGAGAACTTTCAAATCCAGGGATCCCATCATAATGGTTGTACTCTTCAAATCACTTGTGTTGTCACATCTCGAGTACTGCTCAGTACTCACTTCCCCCTTCAGAGCAGGAGAGATTGCTGAAATAGAGGGAATACAGAGAACATATACGGCATGCATAGATGAGATAAAACACCTAAATTATTGGGATTGTCTCAAAGCTCTCCAAATGTATTCTCTAGAAAGGAGACGAGAGAGATATCAAATAATATACACATGGAAAATACTGGAAAGCCAGGTCCCAAATCTACACAGTAAAATGTAGAAAAAAAAAATAAAATAAAAAATAACAACGTACTGGAGTGAACGATATGGAAGAAAATGCAAGATTGAACCAGTGAAGAGCAGAGGTGCCATAGGCACAATCAGAGAACACTGTATAAACATCAGAGGTCTGCGGTTGTTCAACGTCCTCCCAGCATCTATAAGAAATATTGCCGGAACAACCGTGGACATCTTCAAGAGAAAACTGGACTGTTTTCTAAGAGAAATTCCTGATCAGCCAGGCTGTGGTGGGTATGTGGGCCTGCGGGCCGATCCAAGCAACAGCCTGGTGGACAAAACTCTCAAGTCGAGCCTGGCCTCGGGCCGGGCTTGGGGAGAAGAAGAACTCCCAGAACCCCATCAACCAGGTATCAACCAGGTATATCTCCTCTCTCCTTTCTTTTCTCTAGTGTCGTAAGATTCAGTTCCTTCAGACGCTCTTCATATCCCATCCCTCGTAACTCTAGGACAAGCCTCGTCGCAAACCTCTGAACATTCTCCAGTTTCCTTATGTATTTCTTCAGGTGGGGCATGGCATACTCTAAGACTGGTCTCACGTAGGCAGTGTAAAGAGCCCTAAAAGCCTCCTCACTTAGGTTTCTGAATGAAGTTCTAATTTTCGCCAGTGTAGAGTACACTGCTGTCGTTATCCTATGTATATGTGCCTCAGGAGTTAGATTAGGTGTTATGTCCACTCCCAGGTCTCTTTCTCGGACCATTACAGGTAGGCAGTTCCCCATCATTGTGTACTGTCCCTTTGGTCGCTTATCACCTGATCCCATTTCCATAACTTTACATTTACTTGTGTTGAACTCCAGTAGCCATTTCCCTGACCATCTCTGCAACCTGTCTAAGTCCTCTTGGAGGATCCTACAATCCTCATCTGTCACAACTCTTTTCATTAATTTTGCATCATCCACAAACATTGACATGTAGGATTCCACTCCTGTAAACATATCATTTATGTAAATTAGAAAGAGGATTGGTATGTGTGCTAATGGCTTTGCAAGAATGTAAAAAACCAGCGTTGAATGTAACGAAACGCCATTTTCTGGGTTGAGCCCTGGCAGCTACCTGAAGCTAAAAGACTGATATTGGTTATATTAGTCTAGAGCATCAGTTATTAGAGTTCTTGCCTACTGGAAACCATGATCCAAAACCTGAGTTCCCTCAGAGGTGCAGGGCTTATGAACACTTCACTTTTGAGAGTACTCATAGTCATGTCTGCCATCAACTGGGGGTATCACCCAGAAAAGTAGGTAAACCATTACAAACCCCTACTGGTAAAACATTGCAACCCATAGGAAACATAGGAACCCCCCCCCCCACAGGAAACAACAAACAAGGAAATGTCTTATCAACCAGCGCGCCCACTCGTTAGCGACCTCCCTCCCCTGGGAGGGGGAAGAGGGGCCCTGCCCAGGCAGCAGACCAAGTGCTGACACCAGCAGTTCGTAGACTGATGATAAACCGTCAATCAGAGGGAGGGAGGGAGGGAGGGAAGAGGCAGAGCCGCAGAAAAACTCTTGGGTTCGGACACCTAACGAGCAGTGCCAGAAACCAAGGCTGGGCTGGCCACCATGGAGCCAGGAGAATCACCCTTCCTTCAAAGGATTCAAGCTGAGGCAGAACTCTAAGCAACAGCTAGACTGGGGGATAGAGGTAGAGGAACCCCCAACCCCCAACCAATCCTACTGAAAAGAATCCACTGCAAAGGCTTCGATCGCAGTCGGGGATGGATGGCACGTAGACTGGGAGATGCCGAGACAAAGCCAACGCGAGGAGGTCCATGTCAAGGCACCCAAACGTCCGGCAAAGCCAACTGAAGGAGTCGGCATCAACCGTTCACAGATTGGACAGAGGAATGAACCAAGACAGGCTGTCCCACCCCAAACACCTCCCAAATGTGGGGGAGGGGGTATTTGTGTGGACACTCCCCAAAATTTGAACTGCACAGGGAACTCGGCAGAAGAGCAACTCAAAGTGAACAGCCCCAAAGAGCAGCAGACCGAAGAGAAACCCCCATCCCCCCCCTGGTGCAGACAATGAACCACCAGGGTGCAGTCCGAATAAAGCCAGATCACAGAGCCCTGATCGAGCCGAATCCGCTGCAGCGAGAGCCACACTGCACCGTGCTGCGAGCCCAATGGAAAAGCGGACCCCAATGACTGATCATCCTGGTGAAAACTGGTCACAAAACAGAGGGACCAGTGCTAGGACCCTCCACTCTATGGGCACATGTATAAACAAGTGGATGGGGTCACCATGGGTTCTCCCCTAGGTGTCCTGTTCATGAATTTTTACATGGGCACCAGAGAGCGGAGAGTCCTAATTAATATGGACTTAAAACCTGCCATATACTGCAGGTACTGTATGTTGACATATTTATGCGAGTACCTGATGTTGGGCATTTGCAGCAGGTGAAGGAGGCATTTGACCAGAGTTCAGTGTTAAGTTTCACAGAGAGACAGCTAGAGAAGACAGAGAAGACAGAGAGAAGCTAAAATTAAATATCGTTGAGGTAAAACGTCTAAATGAGAGCAGGAATGAAGAAGAAATCAATTCCTTTTTCTACAAAGTTATAGGGGTAGGCAGACCAGTGTGATGGTAATCTCTTTCAAGAGAGATTGAGCCTGCTCTTCCCTACGTAAAGTTACTTATATATATACAACACTAAGAAGCTACCTTCAAGATACGTCTACCAGTAGCACAAAACGTTTTGACCAGGAGGCAAACGTACCCTAAACTCCCCCCCACTTCTCACTCCCTCCATGCCGGCTTGCCACCGTCGTCAACCAGCAAACTACCATTCCAGCCTGCCTGCTTCTGATTGGTGACCCGCCGACTGCACACCTGCACCCTCTACCAAGTCGATGTCTGGGCCTGAACCAGCCATTGAAGTCAGAATATCCTTGTGCTCTCAAGCTGTGAACAACCAACTGATATACACTCTGTTTATTGGTGGAGGTTCTCAGCTAGCGCTATATTCTCAGCACCTGTTTAATCATTCTTTCGTCTTTATTTTATTTGTAGAGTAACGTCACCCTTGTTCTTAATTTTTATATTATATTTTTTTACTTGTTTGTTTGCACTGTACATAGCCAAAGGGGTTCTCTTTGTTCATAATTTTTAAAAGTTAATTAAAGTTTCATTGTTAATACTATGTGTTTTGCATGTCTTCCCTTACTTTACCACAGACAACAGCCAAGCAGTCAATCTTTTTTTTTTCTAAAATGTGATAGGCATTGACACCAGCCATTAGGAGGACTGCCGAACACCGACACTTCTACACTTTCCCGTCACACCAATAAAATGATACAAAAAGGCAAACCAACAAAATCACTAGAGAAATGGGTAGTGAAGAATAAGGGGAGGGGGAACATGTTCCTGAAAATTGCAAACACCAACATAGAGCAAGATCAAAGATACTAGAGTTAAGTGATGTAATACAGCTGCAGACACCAGACATTCTTGCACTCACGGAGACAAAACTAAGATGATATTTTAAATGAGGTCATATTCTCAAGGGGCTACTCAGTCTGGAGATGGAACAGAAAAATTAGGAAAGGTGGCGGCGTTGCTGCGCTGGTGAAAGAACACCTAAAGGTAAATTAAATAATGATTACCAAACCACAAGACATTGACATAATAGCACTTGAGATCTGCAATCAGGATGATAAACTAACAATCATAAATGCATATAGTCCACCACCATGCAACACATGCTGGATATTAAACGAGACGGTCTTATAACAATAATGAGAGAGATTATAGCAAGAGCTGATAAAGACAGATCACGACTGTTGGTAGTTGGCGACTTCAACTTGAAATCCATAAACTGGGAGGCATATGAAGCTAGAACAGAAGATTTTGGGACTTGTAGATTCGTAAACTTCATCCTGGAAACATTCATGTTTCAGCATGTTAAACAAGCTATGAGGATGAGGGAAGGGAATGTTCCCTCCATGCTGGATTTGATATTTACCAGGAAAGAGGGGGAGATATTTGACATTCAGTACCTCCCTCCCTCCCTCGGGTAAAAGTGACCATGTCTTTTTGGGAATAAAGTATGCATTGCATTATAATCTGGAAGAAAATGAGGTTGAAGCAGTTGAAAAGCCTGATTTCAGGAGAGGTCATTATGGGGAACTAGATATTTCTTTAAGGAATTTGACATTCATGTGAATTTGACATTCATGTGAATTTGACATTCATGTGAATTTGACATTCATGTCAAATTATTACATTAATAATAATAATCCTACACAAACATCTTACAGAAAAAGTGTCAACAGAAGTGAGAGCTACCATAGCAAGGCTTTATTCAGGAAAATCTCTTTATACTATAACCATTAATATACTATCAGTATACTTACTGGATCATCAAAGGCCTGATTTAAGTAAGACTTGACAGATCTTCCAGAAGCTCGTCTCTTGCTCTTGCGCCTGAAGGAACGGTATACAGAAACACTGTCCATACTGTATGCATCCATGCTCACAGGTGTGCAGCGGCGTCCATAATAGTTGTTAGTAGCACCTCGTCTCTTCACAACCATCTTAAAAACATAAGGACAGCTCTTCTGCATCATTTTTAATTCTGTTCATTTTAAATTATTGGTAAAGTATTAAGGTAAAACATTAATATTATTTTTCTTTATCTTCAGAAACTTAATAACAATTAAATTTTTTAGTTTTCATTACATATGAAAACAGAAAAATAAAATATGAAATCTGTCATTGTTTGGCTATGACAGCCAAACAATTGGTCCCAAATTGTGCAGTGACCTCCCAAATGCAATGGAAAAGGAAAATGCAATAGAACATTTGGTTTCATTCTTGACTCAGTCAGGGATCCTGTGCGGTCCATCTAATTACCACAAGCTACACAAGCTTCAGAAAGCTTCCTGGCAATACGTTAGTAATGAATAAATATGATATATTTACTCATTATAATGTTGGTGCTGAATGTACAACACGAAAAAACATAATTTTAATCTGAAAAAGTATCTTTTTATAAAGAAATTAGGCGAAAATAAAAAGCTGGTGACGCCAAATCAAGTCGACAATCCAAGCGCCGGTTATGTTAGGTTAGGTTAGGTTAGGTTAGGTTAAGTTAGGTTTGGTTAAGTTAGGTTTGGTTAAGTTAGGTTTGGTTAAGTTAGGTTTGGTTAAGTTAGGTTAGGTTAGGATAGGTTAGGATAGGTTAGGATAGGTTAGGTCAGCCTAACCTAACATATCATATTTATTCATTACTAACGTATTGCCAGGAAGCTTTCTGAAGCTTGTGTAGCTTGTGGTAATTAGACGGACCCATCCTGTGTTCTATTTCCAGGTGGGACAGAAATGGTTAGGCATGTATCCTTCACCTACCACTGACAAAAAATTTCAAATCCTTGAAACTATACTTATAAGAGGACAAAGACCCCTTCCCCTTAAATATACAGAATAATGTTTTGCCAACACTTGGATCTAGATCTTGCCAAACATCACCGAATAAACAAATCCACAAGGGCTGTGACGAGGATTCGAACCTGCATCCGAGAGCATCCCAGATGCTGCCATAATTGACTGAGATACGCCATGGTAAAAAGGAGTTGAAACCAAAGTTTTACTGAACTTACTGGATCCTGCAGCCTCCCCCGAGGCACAAACCAGGGTTTTACACAACTCCCCATGCACTCGAGCTATGTCAATAGACCATTCTCTCTCTTCGCCCTTACTTCATTACACACACAAATCTCAATTGTGTGATGCATCAAATGAACAAATCCATAAGGATTTGTGGATTAAGGCAGCGTCTGGGATGCTTTCGGACGCAAGTTCAAATCCTCGTCACGGCCCTTGAGAATTTGTTCATTTGATGCATCACTCAATTGTGATTTCTGTGTGTAATCACCGAATAATGAAGTCTCTACCCAGGTATCCCTGCCCACCGAGAGTACCCGAGTTTTACCCAATGTTTAATTGGCCCTGCCTCCTTTACCCCCATATTTAATTGGACCTATTCCAATACCCTATGTTTGTTCCTCTAACAATAATGCTAAAATGAGAACTTTTAGTAAGTTATATATAAGTTAATAGTTTGTAAGTTAATGTGTGTGTGCCCAAGTCCTGTGTATACGTGGTCTGCGCCAATACATGTGCCTAAGCCATTCAACTTCACCAATGTAATCACTGCTATCATCTCATATCATGGTTGTTATATTGAACACATATTTTACTACATTATACCTAGAAATAATCCTCAAATTATGCTACAATGTACCTGTTTATAATCTTCAAATTTTACTGTAATGTACCTACTAATCTTAGTCAAAAATTGTTACAATTTACCTGTTAACATTACTAAATTTTGCTAGAAATTACTTACTTAAAATTATCTGTTAGAATAAGGACCTGTCTGAAATACTATGCATGTTAGCAGCTTTACAAGAATGTAAAAACATCAATGCTATGTTCTCTCAAACCCAGTGTACCTTCTTGTATAAATAAATAAATAAATAAATAAAAGTTGAACTTTTATGCTGTATTAAATGACACAAACAATGATACATGTCTGTATTGGTGTAAGAGGGGAAAAATGCAATAGTGTACTCATGAATCTGAAATGTCTAAATGGTCATCATCATGTACCCTTTGACACCTCATAGCAGTGGTATATATATACAGTACCATAATTAAATCCAATGGAGCTCTATATTTTTAGAATTGGATAAACACTATCGTTGCCACAGACAAAACATGAAATATTATTTTCTTAAAATAAAATATATGACATGCAAGTGGGTGCTGGGTTATAAGCCTGCTGTAGTAAAGCATTTCAATCCAAATTTTTTGGTTTATATGATCTTGAAACTCAATGGCTATGTAATGGTAATTATGGAGAGTATTTCAAACTCTCATTTTTATCTTTTGTAGGAGTTTAAAAAACTAAAGCTATAATCATATTTATAACAGTAAAGAACTCTGCTTTACTATAATTATCCATAAATGGATAAATTAGAAGACAAGATTTTAAAATGAGGTGCATGTATTCAATATAAGAGCTGCACATACAAGCATGAAGTGACTAAAACCAGCAAATTTATTCTTTGACTTATGCTCATGTACTGTACATAGAAAAGAGAGCCAACTTACAAAGAAGAGAAGTGCCACAATAATGGTAACCCCAACAATGCTGCAGACAACAATGATTACAATGATGGAGGTACCAACTGCAGCAGCCTTTTCGTGCAGCGGGTCAGTAATTATCGGACCAACAAGGTCATCCTTGGCTGTCATTACTTCCAACTGTGACACCTAAGTAAGAAAAATATGTTTATCTTTAATGTCTTTAATTTACTAAGTAGGTCAATTCAGATAATATACCGAAATTCATTCAGTCTTGGATAGTAAAAGGCAGTTATTAGCATTTACGTGTACACTTAGTCTCACCTTTGATATCAAATATGTCAAGTTTTTACTAATTTCAAGATCCATTGGGAAAAGTGGAAATTGTTTAGTTAAATTAGGGTTAATTTTGCCAGCACTTGTCACATAGAAGTAAACATTTGTTTTTTCATTATCTACTAAGCTGGGAAGTTTTTCATCTGTTTCAGGTTGAGGACGATTACGGTTTATACGATCTTCGGTAAGTGGTTTACTTATGGCACAATCTGGCTTGCTGAAGAACTCGATATCATGAGGTTCCACATGCCTGCTGATGGCCAGGAAAGAAATGGGAAAAATATACAATTAATATTTGTCTTCTAATTAAATTGCAACTGATAGTAAAGTACAGTGTATAAGGATTCTTTTTACATTCTTACAGCTAATGTTTTCTATTCTTCTTGTGAATTAGGCACCTATGTAGGAAATACATTACCTGCAACAAAAGTTAAGTTTTATGCTATGTATACTATATTGTATGTTAATATAATCTAAAACTCTGACACTCGTACTGTACAGTACAGTATACTGTACCGTACAGTATATTGTACCGTATAGTATACTGTACTGTACAGTATACTGTACTCTGCTAATTTTGAGCTGAAACTTTTCCTTCTTAGGTGTAATAGAACTCATGAGCACTACACCAGAAATAAATCTCTCTTTGATATCCCTAGAGTCAAACTAATATGTGCAAACACTATGTAAATAAAAGGACTCAGTCTATGGAACTCACTCCCTAATTAATTAACAAATTGTCCAACCTATGCCTTATTCAAAAGTAAAACCAAAAAGTACATAATTTAATCATCGTAGTTTCCTACCTTGTGTTTCAAACTCTCACTATATCTTGTAGTACCAACTTCTCCAATATTAGTACTTAAGACATATCTTCAGTATAATTACCTCTGTCAATTAATATTTTAGTTATATGTTGATTGACAATTTTGCTACAATATGTACCTTTTCATCTTACCTGATTTGTTAGATTAAGGACCTGCCTGAAACACTGTGTTAGTGGCTTTTAAAGAATGTAAAAATACAAATCTAACGTAATCTCACCAACCCATTGTACCTTCTTGTGAATAAAATTATCCTTATTATTATTATTATTATTATTATTATTATTATTATTATTATTATAGGGTGACCTTAAAAACTCTGAAGTCAATTCTGTTTCTAAGTCACTGTGTCAGGGGACATGAAGCCAGAGTACATTCATACACATTTGACTTTTATCGAGTTTGGCTTTTTTATCTGTCCTGTCTCTTTGTTCTCTTTTAATAAGTCATGTGATTGCGGAGAGGAAGGGACAAACAAATAAATAAATAATGTAAAAGTAAGATGAGAGGCGAGTAGCAGCCATGAGAAAAACGTGAATGCGAACTTGTTCCGCAAGAAACTCTAAGAATACCGAGTTGGTTCTTGCAACATTTGGCAGTTAGAAGGAAAGTCTTGAATGCTAGGTGAATAATTGTTTGAATAAGGTTGTTTGAAAGAAGGTAAAGAATCAAAGAAATTAAAAAGAGTAAGACTTCACTGTGGGATCCATATGCAGACTATGAATCCCAATAAAGTTGCTGATACCAAACCACACATCATGAAATGAAAAAACAATGATGTTTTGGTCCATCTTGGCCCATTATCAGGTAATATAATACAGGTTATCTTGAGGTTATCTTGAGATGATTTCGGGGCTTTTTAGTGTCCCCGCGGCCCGGTCTTCAACCAGGCCTCCACCCCCAGGAAGCAGCCCGTGACAGCTGACTAACACCCAGGTACCTATTTTACTGCTAGGTAACAGGGGCATAGGGTGAAAGAAACTCTGCCCATTGCTTCTCGCCGGCACCTGGGATCGAACCCAGGGCCACAGGATCACAAGTCCAGCATGCTGTCCACTCGGCCGACTGGCTCCCTAAGGAACGTTCTTACGTCTTAAGGAAGGTCTTACAAAGGTCTTAAGGTCTTCTTACGTCTTCTCCCTTAAGGAACGTCTGTTCTTTCCAGGAGAGGAAAGAACAGAGAAATAAATAAGGTAAGCTTGCCTTGTTAATGCCAAACATACCAAGAACGGCTTCTGAAAGACTGTCTTGAGGAACAAGTTCTCTCTAATTCATCTTTTTTTTTACCTGCTCCTCACCACTCATCTCACTCATACCTTATTTATTTGTCTGTCCCTTCCTCTCTTCTATTACATGACTTGATAATGGTCCAAGATGGACCAAAACATCGTCATTTCTTAATTTTCTGGTCTGTGGTTTGGTAATCATATGGCATATACGTAAATGGCCCTTAAAGCACGTATAAAACATAACAAAATTAAAATACTAACACTTTTCCATGCAGATGCCGACTGAGCCACTGTGCAAACAAGGAACGGAAGTTGTTCTTGTGTTGACAGAACTCCATACTACTGTAAGCTACAAGGGCCCTGATGAAGGGCAAGCGACGCTTTACCACAGTACCATTTAGAAGTGTCTCCATTGTTGTAAGGGATGGTGTTGTCTCTGTTAAAATTTATATTTTTGCATGTCAAAAAATGTTCAGATTTGTTAATTAGGTGCACAGAGAAAATTCTAAACATGTACAAAGCACAAAACCTTTGTTTCCATAAAAGATGGCAAACTTGTGACCATATGAAGTGTCTAGTTTATTACAAGATTCTGTAGTACTTAAAATATTGTTAGCGAAATATGTATTACTTTGCTATGAGGTATTATATTACATGAGGACCAAATATACAGTAATGTGAATTTTAACAAAACAATTATTAATGGATTTATTCTTAATGTTTTTAACACTGTACCATGAAATGTTTAATTTATTTAAAATATAAACAGTATTACAGCACTGTTTTAAAAGCCACTTCTGATAAGGTAATGAATAGTACTAGTACACTTTATATAAAGTTTAAAGTCATAAAATGGAGAAGCAAGCATAAGTGGCCAAAATGCTTTCCAATAGCATCTAGCAACAAAAGCAATATTGAAAGCAAAAAAGTAAAGGGAATTTATAAGCACTGCTATTCATAATAAAGGCAAACCTATTAATACTGATAAATATGGAATAACATAAGATTTAAGCCATTACACAAAGGATATGCCAATATATTAAATGAGTGAATTACTTATAAAAATTGAAAAGTATAACAACCTCTATTCATCATGGGTACTAAAGCAATAGGTATAAATATTTTAATTGTCTTGAGATAGGCTGTTTTCCTTTGAATATTGATAGCACAAGGCAATTGATATTGTCATAGGAATGTGATCAGCAGCCTCTGTTATTCATAAAATATGACTCATTTTTACCAAGGAATGAGTAAAATATGTACGTTTAGTTCTCGGAGCCTACCAGTTGGGTCTATAAAGGTGGGAACTTCACTTGAAAGTGTTGTAGAAACTGGTGAGGTGGATGTGGTTCGAGGGGCTGTAACTTTGGTTGTACTTTTCTTTGTTGCAGAGGTAGTATATGTTGGAGTTGTAACCATTACAGGTGCGGGAATGCTGATAGTTGATGAGGAAGATGATGGATTCTCAATTTCTGCTGCTGCTTCTATTAAGGAAAAGAAAGGTGATTTATGTTGGGCCAAACGATTACTAGAATGAATGCTTTCTTAATTAAACTCTGACCTGGATGATATTTAATTACATGTATTTCTTACAGCCAGTTTCATATATGACAATCAATAATGTACTGTATTTAATCATCATAATATTAAAACTAAAGAAATTCAGTTAAATAATTATTTATAGGTGTAATGGGTAAACATTTAATATTAAATGAGAAGTAAGCTAACATACATGTACTGCTGAAGAAATTAAGCAAATGATAAACAATATTTAAGTGATACATATTAATGAAAGGCATAGATTGCTTTACTATAGAATCTTTATTATAGAATATGTGGGTGAATGTGGGCCAATTTATTCATGTGCCTAATTACCAAATTAAACAACTGCAGATAGTGAAGAGCTATGATTGTGGTGTCCTGTCTTCCCAGTACTTCGTCATATAACACATTGAAAGTACTGATGGTTTTGCCATACATTGCCTTCTCATTTTACTTGTTCAATCTTCTCCAAGTCTCTTCGAAAAAGAGAACTTTCATAATTTTTTTTGCTTTCCTTGTTTCCTTAAAAAAAAAACAGCGTTGAATGTAATGAAACTTCCTTTTTTGGGCAAGTCCCGGAGGCTCCCTGGAGTTTATCCAGGCTGATATGCAAATATTAGACTTTGGCCTTAGTCAGTGTGAATGAGGGTTCTTAGGCTTACAGGGGACCACAAGCCAGAATCTGGCCCCCTCAGAGAGGCAAGAAGATCAATGGCCTATAGAAATGCACATGTGATTTTGAGCATTCTATGTCTGCCATCGACCGGGTCAGGCACCCAGAGAGGTAAGCATCACAAACAAGCCCTTATTCTGGTTGAAACTACTACTACTAAAAGTCAAACAAGTGGACAGGACCCCCCAAACAAAAACAAGCAAACAAGCATGACATCACCACGTTACCGCGCTGCCATCTGAGCAGCTGCCCCCTCCCAGGGAGGGGGAAGGGGAAGCACCAGATCCCTCGTGCCAGCCACCCAAAACCTCAGTTCTGAGGCTGGATATAAAAAACATGCAAAAAAAATGAAGATCGGAGGGAGGGAGGGTCACTGGGAGCCTTCGGGACTCATGCCAGGAAAAATGGCGTTTCATTACATTTAATGATGGTTTTCTGGGGGGAAGCCCCTGTGGCTCCTCGAAGCTACTTACCAAAAGACAAGAACAAGAGGGACTATCCCGGGAGGCAGTCGTTGCTCGCTCCTCAACGCAAAGTCGAGACAACTGGCTGCAACCGCCGACCCAAAGCGACACAGGCCCAACTAGGCCCAGGAACATCCACCAGGTAATGCGCAGCCAGGACCCCATTCAACCACCAAAAACCCAGTGCCCGAATGTCAGCCCAAGACATGTTACCGGAGACAGCAGCAGCAGCAAACTTACGAACGTCGTGGGCACGGGGATAGACCGCAGGCTGGCTGGACCGAATAACCCTGCAAACGACCTGGGAGACCTGAACCCTGGAACAGGGAAGAAGAGAAACTGGACCAACCCAAAGCGCATCCCAAGCCATGGAGGCCATGGCGCGCAAATAACAGTGAAGAGCTGTAACCAGACACAACACATGATGCACCCCCGGCCTGACCAACCAAGCAACAACCCAAGGACCCCTCCGGAAAGCAGCAATCTGATTCTTTGCCAGAAAAGAAGGAGACAGCTACACCCAAACAAACCTATCACCAGGCCCAAACGAGCAGAAACCCCTGCGTCGGGTGAGAGCATGAAGCTCCCCGACCCAACCCCTAGAGGCCAATGCCAACAAGAAAAGAGCCTTAGACACAATCCTGAACTGAAGGGACCACAACAAACTGAGGAGGAGAGAGGTAACAGAGAACCCTGTCCAAAGACCATGGTGGCGCAGGCAGTGCATGAACAGACCAGAGGTGAAACGACACCCGAGACAGCTTGTGAAAAGGTGGAGAAGTAACATCGATGCCGAAAGCAAGCTGCAGCCGCTCCGCCAGTGCTGCACAATACGAGGCAACAGTATTTGGCACAAAATAACTAAAAGAACTAAACATAAGGATAAAATAACATAAGGAACTAAACAACACTCACATAACCAAATAAAACTATCAGGATGGGTTATACACCATCAACTGATTTAGAAATGGCAAATGAATTTAATAGCTTCTTTTCATCGGTTGGTGGTAATCTTGCCAGAAAAATCCCACAGACTCAGACACATATTAACACATCTCTCAGGCAGCTATCCAAACTCTCTTCTCCTTTCACCAGTCAGCCCGGCAGATGTTGTGTCCATCATACACTCTCTAAAAACCAAGCCAGGGAACACCAGTGAAATTCCGTCCATTGTATACAAGAGTGCCTCCCATGCCCTTGCACCACCCATAGCTCTACTGTTCAACAAATCTATAGTGTGTCACACCTTCCCCGATTTCCTTAAAAAAACAAGAGTTACGCCAGTCCATAAAGGAGGCAATCCGGCGGACATAAACAATTATAGACCAATATCAAATCTACCCATTCTATCAAAAATATTTGAAAAAATTATCTACAAACAGCTCTATTCCTACCTCGTAAAATTCGACATACTCAGCCCCTGCCAGTTTGGCTTCCGGTCTCAAAAGAGCACCAATGATGCAATCATTAGTCTCCTTGACGTAATATACTCAGCCCTTGACCAAAATGAGTTTCCGATTGGACTCTTCATTGACCTAAGAAAAGCCTTTGATACTATTAATCACAACTACCTTTTACTTAAACTCCAGCATTATGGAATCCGAGGCCTTGTTCTGGATTATATCCGATCCTATCTAAGTGACAGACACCAATGTGTAACCATCAATGATGCAACCTCTTCCACTCTACCAATAACCGTTGGAGTGCCACAGGGCAGCATCTTAGGACCTCTTCTATTTCTTATATATATATCTATGATCTGCCTCATGTCTCTAATATTCTTAAACCTATATTGTTTGCTGATGGTACTACCATTATCTATTCAGACCCCAACCCACACACACTAAATAATGTTGTGAATAATGAATTAAAAAAAGTCCACTTATGGATGTCAACTAACAAACTAACACTAAACATAGAAAAGACCTACATCTTATTTGGAAGCAAATCATCGAATGTAATTCAGCTACAGATAGACAACAATAACATCAGTAATAAAAATGATGGAAAGTTTCTTGGCCTATTCTTAGACAAGAGACTCAACTTCAGCACCCACATTCAACACATAACTAAGAAAGTCTCAAACAGTTGGAATTCTCTCCAAAATAAGATATTATGTTCCTAACTCTGCTCTCCTCTCACTATATTATGCACTAATCTATCCCTATCTTAATTATGGTATCTGTGCATGAGGGTCTACCACTGCAAACCACCTTAAGCCCATCATCACTCAGCAAAAATCTGCTATCAGAATAATAAACTCTGCCTTCAGACAACACTCGGCTCCCTTGTTTAAATCCCTTAACTTGCTAAATATTAACTCCCTCCACACATTCTCTTGTTTCAACTACATTTACAAAATCCTGTTCTTAAATGCAAACCATGCTCTGAAACTCTCCCTGGACAGATGTAATAGGACCCATTATTACCACACCAGAAATAAATATATCTGATATTCCCAGGGTCAAACTTAATCTGTGTAAACATTCTATGCAAATTAAGGGACCTAGTCTATGGAACTCACTCCCTAGTGAATTGAAAAGCTGTCAAACTTTTGCCTCATTTAAAAACAAAACCAAACAGTACCTAATTTCATCTTCGTAGTTTCCTACACTGAGCTTTAAATTTGCTCTGTATCTAGTGTTACCCAATCTCCCAATCTTTATGTACTTAATCCAAACAACTTTATCATTGTGTTCATTGCTGTATTCTTTTATGTGCTAGCCATATGCTGTATTGTGCCTGCTAAGTTTTGTTAAACTACCATTCAAGCTGTCATTGCAATCATTCTGAGCTACCCATGTGCTTTAATATACTTACAATTTTTCTTTCATCTTTTATTTTTTTCCATGCTATGTAACTTATCATTTTTATAAATTTTGCAAGTATTTACCTACTTATAAGTTTCTTAGATTAAGGACCTGCCCGAAATGCTGCGCGTACTAGTGGCTTTACAAGAATGTAATTACTATGCTATGTATCCTCACAATCCCAATGTACCTTCTTGTATATATATATATAAATAAATAAATAAATAAATAACGGTCCTGAAACAGCCACGAGAGAAAGGACAAGACCATCTGAATCAAAAGCGAAGTAAACCTATAAAGAGACAAAGAAACAGTAGGACTGCCAGGAATCTTCATACTGCCGCCGAGATGAAGCATGCAGGTGGGACACCATCAACGAAGTCACCTGATCACCATACAGATGGTGATAGAACCGAGACAAAAATACCAGACACAGACTTGAGGAGAAGATTTGAACCAGCCATGTAACAGTCTGGACCGATCATTTGAAAGAGGCTGAGCCATGGGAAAACCCCTGGGTTCGGACACCGAGCAAGCAGCACCTGAAACCAAGGCTGGGCCAGCCACCAAGGAGCCAAGAGGACTACTCTCCCCTGGTAAGTCTCCAAGTGAGCTAGAACTTGGAGTAATAGCGGAACCAAGGGGAAAAGGTACAGGTAACCTCACCACGACCAGTCCTGCTGAAATGCATTGATCCTGACAGCCTTGCAGTTGGGGAAGGGCACCACATATACCAGGAGATTCCTCGACCATGCCGACGTGAAGAGATCCACTCCGGGAGCCCATATATCTGGCAGAGCCAACTGAATGAGTCGGTGTCAACTACCCATTCTGAAGATGGGAATGAACCAGGGCAACCCATCTGCCAGGACGTTGGACACACGCTAAACGTGAACGGCCAGGAAAGCCAAACCCCGAGAACTTAGAAGATGAGTCATCTGAAGCCACCAACCCCAAAGAGGCAAGGACCGTAACAAGCCCCCTCGGTTCAGGCA